GAAGTTGACCTTCTGTTTTTATTAGATGCAAATATTTTCCCGGTTATTTGATTTTGGGGGGGGGGGGCACTCTAGGTGGTATTTTCAAGCTACCAGGGCTACACACAGCAGTGACAGGGGAAGAAAAGGTGTTTGTAGGGCTAGGGATCAAACCCAGGTCCTCGAATGGCAAGACTTGTGCTTAACCATTCGCAGCACGTAACTGTTCCAGTCATTTGATTTTTCACTTTTCTTTTTGTTGTCTTGCCACAGAAAGCCATTTTACTTTCATGTATTTAAAACAATTACGCTTTAATTTTTATGGGTTTTGGAATCTGTATTCTGGCAACAAATGGGGGAAAAACTTTTCCCAACTCCAGTATAATCAAAGACATTTTTTTTCTGCTGGTATTATACTTTCATGAAGGTGGTATCAACAGAGATAGATAAACAGACAGATAGAGATCCTCATAAGGGTATTTATTGGAACTCACAGTTTCCAAACTTATTTTTTCTAATTTCCCACTTGCCCCAATTTTTCTGATAGTCTGAAAAGCTTCCTTGATCAGATATTAAATATCTATGACTATTACGTCTCCATTCAGGCTTTAGGTATCAGGATTGTATCAGATTATTAATATGCTATATTAATAACCCATCAACGCTGTTATTTTTTCAGGCTTTTTTTAGATAGAAATAAATAAGCAAGGACCTGTTTGGTTTAGGGGAGTAGGGGTTGATTGGATCTTTTTAATTTTGTTTTGTTTTTTGGTTTGTTTAGGTTTTGGGGCCATACTCAGTGGAACTCAGTAACTACTCCCAGCTCTGTGCTCAGAGACTCACTCCCAGCAGTGTTCAGAGGACTTTGTGCAGGACCTTGTGCAGAAGGGATGAAATCTGAGGCTTCTGAATAAAAAGCAAGGGAAATCTGATGAGCTGTCACTCTGGCCCCAAGAACTTGGGTGTGGTTTTTTTTTCCCTTAGGAACTTTTGATATAACTTTTGTGTTTCTGGGGGAAAAAATCTGTGGCTATTTTTTTTCTTGAGATCGTAACAGAGATTGAGAAAAAGGTGTGGTCTGTTATGGAGTCTTTCTATACGAGTGAATGGTGCCTCTTAGAATCCACCAGTTTATGGGGCTGGAGTGATAGTACAGTGGGTAGGGTAGTGTGCTTGCCTTGCACGTGGCCAACCCAGGTTTAATACCTAGCATCCCATAGAGTCCCCTAGGCATCACCAAAAATGACTCGAGTTTGACACCCATCATCCCATAGGGTCCCCAAAGCACATCCAGAAATGATTTCTGAGTGCAGAGCCAAGAGTAACCCCTAAGCATCGCTGGATGTGACCCCCAAAAAAACAAACAAAAAGAGTAAGCCCTAAATATCACTGGGTGTGGATTTCTCTGCGCCACCCCGCCCCCCACATCCCAATCCGCCCCCATTTAAAGAAAAAAACCAAAACAGAAAAAGAATCCATCAGTTTAATTTCTCTTTTGTGAACCTCCCACTTCGCGACACCCCTCCACCCATACCAACTGTCCCTTTTTTCCCCTGTAGGTCTTGCCTGTGTCTCTTTAATTCTTGGTTTTCCTTCCCTCATTATTCTAATTGCAGTGTGTATAGAAGGAAACTATTGATTTCTGTTGGTTAATTTTGAAATCACACCCCTTGCAGGTTTCTCTTATTGTTGATGTTAGTTCTTTTGAGATGACTCTTTTGGGCACTCCAGAAGTAAAATCTGTTTATCTACAAATAGGGTAATTATACCCCTGTGTTCCAGTATTGTATTCTGTTTTCTTTTTCCTTCTCCAGCTGCACTGGGAAATAATGCGAGTGATGGTATCATCCCTGCCTACTTCTCTACTCTGATTGTTTCCAGGGTTTCTAAACTTATGTTGCCAGTAGTCCAAGGAAAATTTGAGAAAAGCTTCTGCAGACTACTTACTGAAGCACTGATTTATAATTTTTTCCTAAAAAAGTGAATGGTAAATAATCTCAACAATTTGAAACATTAAGGAAAGGGTAATTCAATGACATCTCCTAAGGAAAAACAACAAAGCAATGTGAGTTATAACAGTTTGATTCCTAGCTCTGTACTCAGGAATCACACCTGGTGGTGCTCAGGGAACCAACTGGGATGCTAGAGATCCAACCCAGCTCAGCCACATGCAAGGAAAATGCTCTTCCTGTTATACTATCACTCCAGCTCATAAGAATTATTTTTAATGCAAAGTATTATGATCTAAAAAAATCAGTAACACAAAAGCATAGTAAGATAATAGAAATGATGAGTAGAAAATGACAGATAAAGAAGAATGTTAAGATATTAATATAGTTTTTTAAATTTTGGTTTTGGAGATTTTTTTTTAAATTTTGGGCTATTCCCTGCTGTACTCAGGGCTTACTCCTGGCTCTGCTCTGAGATCACTTCTAGTGGGCTGGGGTACCAGTTGTGGTGCCAGAAATCAAACCCAGGTGAGTTGCATGCAAGGCGTAGTTCCAAGGTACCAATATTGTTTTTTGTTTTGGGCCACACCTAAGGATGTAGGTCTTATCCTGACTCCTGGGTCTACATGTAGGAATTACTCCTGGTAGTGCTCAGGGAGCCAGATGGAGTGCTGGGGACCAAACCAGGGTTGGCTGCATGCAATGCAAGTGCCCTACCCGCTGTGCTATCACTCTAGCCCCAACCATTGTTAACAGTGTCTTTTATGGTACATTGGGAATGAGACAAAATTCCACTACTCAAAGTGGAGTTGAAATTAAGCCTCTGTGGACACAACTCATGATTAACCTTTACATGAACCAAACAGGGCAGAAGCAACCCTCCTAAGCATGCCAGAGCAAGCTTAGACTATCTTATTTCTGCACCCCTTGGCATTTTAGAGTGGCACCCAGAAATGTCATCTGGAAACCCCATGCCAGCCTGGTTTGTGACTGCTAATTTTCTAGTGCCCATATTGAAAGTAAAAAAGAAACAAGTGTGGAGCAGGGGCAATAGTACAGTGGGTAGAGCATTTACCTTGCATGCAGCCTACCTAGGTTTGAGCCCTGGCATCCCATATGGTCCTCTGAGCACTACCAGGAGTGATCACTGAGCACAGAGCCATAAGTAAGCCCTGAGCACTGCCAGATGTGAGCCCAAAACAAAACCAGTACAAAACAACAAAAAATTCAGTTCCTCAGTCGCTCTAGTCAATTTTCAAATGCTTAATAATCAGGGCTGAAGCGATAGCCCATTACATGCATTGGATCCAGTCCACCTCGGTTTGATCCCCTGCACCTCATATGGTCCCCCAAGTCTTCCAGGAGTAATCCCTGAGCTCAGAGCTGGGACTAAGCCATGAGCTCTTCTGGGTGTGCCCCCTACCTCTCTCTCTCTCTATGTGTGTGTGTGTGTGTGTGTGTGTGTGTGTGTGTGTGTGTGTGTGTACACTTGTGCCTATACTTCCAACAGGACAACTCTAGGGAAATTCAACCTCAATCCTCAATCCTTTATTCTTTTGCCTAAAATCCCTCAGGCCTGAGAAAGATCCAGGCCCTGCCTTGCCCAAGTGTTTGCAGCTGCCCAGTTTGCTCTAACACAGAACCCACCTGGCACCAGCCCAGACTCAGAGGGGCTCGAAGTTCTGGTTTCAAGTTGAAAAGGCCGAGGATGTAGTGCTTCAAAGCCATGCTTCTGTGCCCTCTATTTGCCCTGCACCTGCATTTACAAAAAATAAAAACTAGCGTCCAGAGCGATAGTACAGCAGGATGCATGCAGCCAACAGGGGGGTTGATCCCTGGCATCCCCTGAATACTGCCAGGAGTAATTCCTGAGTGCGGAGCCAGAAGTAACCCCTGTGCATTACCGGGTGTGAACCAAACCCCCAGCCTCCCAGAAAAGGAAGAAAAGCAGGCATATACATGATTCTGAACACTTGCTTACCCATTGGTAAGTGAAGTTCACCCAGTGAATGGCACACCTCAAGCTGCTAAGAGTCTCTTCCAATAAATTCCACTTTTTACCTAATAACTAGACAGCAATAGTATGCTATGTATTTATATAGCTTTGTTAATAATTCAGAAAATTAACCCAAATGACAAGAAAAAAAGGCAAGTTAAAAAAAAAAGATAAAGTCATGATCAACAGCGAATAAAATAAAGAGAAACAATAATAAAAGGCCAGGGCTATAGCTCATGTGCTCATGAAGCATATTCTTTTATGGTTGTTTTGGTGCCACATCAGGCACTGCTCAGGGGCGGTGGGTGCACTATGGAATGCCCCGGATTGAACCTGGGTCTGAAGCGTGCCAGTCAAGCGTCCTGTCCACTGTATTATCACTCTGGTACCCTTTGCTAACTGTTTTGTTATGAACCATAAATAGCTGCACCAGGAGACCTTCTCAAAGTTATTTGACTTTTAAAATCTCTAACTTTTATTTTTTAAAGGATGCACTTTATTTGGAAATTATAGTTGCTTTTATCCTTTCCCAGCGTTTTTTCTTTTCAAATTAACAAAAAAAATTGGACTTCTGTGATTTACAATGCTACCTATAACGGTCTCTTACGCTTATAATTCCAACACCACACTCATCACCAATGTACCCACCACCCACTCCCAAAGACCCAGTTAGTTTAAAAAGGTTTGGGTGAGTGACCGATCCGCTGGAGACCGCACTAGGCGAGGTGATCTTTGCACCGCAGCAACCGGCGAAACCACCCCCAGCCCCGCTCATTCCCCACCTCCCATCCCGCGTCTGGCACTGAAACAAGCGATGTGCTCAGGGACACAGGCTGTTAAGTAACACCTCTTTGGCTTCCCGGTCACCGATTTACTTTACAGCCCATCCTTGAAGCCCAAAGTCCTGGAATCTGTACAAGCAGCTTTCCCACGCCCCGCCGCCCCTCCAGCAGCGGAGAAGGCTGCCCCCGGCCCTGCGCCTGCGTCCTCGCCGCACTCCGGAGGCGGTACAGTCGAGTAAGTCCTCCCGCCTGCTAGAGGGGAGCCGGAAGTGCCCCGGAGCCGCCGCTGGTTCTTCCGGCTGGGCCGTCTGCGCTTTTGTCCCGCCGGCCGACGCGCTCTCGTGGCGCCGCCACCGCTAGTACGTGAGTTTGCGGCTCCCCGCGCCCCCGCCTGCGACCCTGGCCCTTGCAAAGCCTGGTCCTTCCCTCTGGGCCGACGCCCGACGGCCCTCGGCTCCTGGGCGGGGTGTGGGGAAAGGCGAGCCCCGTCGCCACACTCAGGCGCGTCCCGGGCCGTGTGAGGGACGAGCAGTCTCCTGGGGTGAGGGATGCGGGCTGTCGGGGCCGCGTCAGGGGTCGTCGCGTGGGGGTGAGGATGCGGGCCTTCGGGGGCCGCGTCCGTCTGTGAGGCGGCAGGGGTCGCGTGGAGTGAGGGCGCGGGCTGTTGAGTCGTGTGGGGTGAAGGGGTGTGGGCTGTCGGGGGGCCGCGTCCGGCTGTGAGGCGGTAGGGGTCGCGTGGGGGTGGAAGTGCGGGCTATCGGGGGAAGCGTCAGGGGTCCCGTGAGGGTGCGGGGTGCGGGCTGTCCGGGACTGTGGCCCGGCTGTGAGGCGGCAGGGGTCGCGTGGGGGTGCGGGGTGCGGGCTGTCGGGGGCAGCGTCAGGGGTCGCGTCAGGGTGCGGGGCGCGAGGCGCGGGCTGTCGGGGGGCCACGCCCGGCTGTGAGGCGGCAGAGGTCGCGTGGGGGTGGGGATGCGGGCTGTCGGGGGCCGTGCCCGGCTGTGAGGCGGCAGGGGTCGCGTGAGGTCGCGTCCCGGAGGGTCCCGACAGGACGAAGGCCCGATCTCTAGGACGGGAGGGAACCACCATGAATCGGCTTTAACTTTTGCCCCGGTGGCCGCGAATGTGGGCCGGGGCCCGGCGACTACTCGGGATTCGTCATCTCGGTTCGCACCTTCTCCTACTTTTCCTGGCTGAGCCGAGGAGGGTGGGCGATGGCCGCGCAGGGGTCTCGAGTCTAATCACGCCTGCCCGACCTCCCACTACCACGGGGGTGACCGGGTTCAGGGGGACCCCGCGAGCGCGGAGTGACCGAGGGGTTGGGGAGAAGAACGGGCAGACCCGGGGCCCTGAGGAGCCCTGACCCAGGCAGGTATATGCTGCAGGTGCACGGGGCAGGGGTGCAGGCGTTTGAAAACACCGCGAGTTTCCGAGGGTATTTTATTTTCTGTATAATAAAATTTGCAATATGTACTGTATTCTTAAGGTTCCCGTATTTAAAGTTACGTTTAGTCACTGAAGAAGGTGGAACCCTGACCAGGGGCATGTGGGGCAGGTGCACCAGGCAGGTGCAGCCACAGGTGTGTAGTGGCGTGAAGGAGTCATTTTATTTCCAGTATGTATTTTTGTGGTTCTCATATTTAAAGTTTAGATGTTAATTAGTGAAAATGTGGGACTCTAACCTGGGGGTGCATGTAACAGGTGTTCTGGGCAGGAACCTCCCCCCCCCAAGTATTTTATTTTCTTTATAATAAAAATTGCAATATGTAATGTATTACATGGGCTGGAACAATAGCACAGCGGGTAGGGCGTTTGCCTTGCATGCAGCCAACATGGCCCACCCAAGTTCGATTCCTCCGCCCCTCACGGAGAGCCCAGCCAGCTACTGAGAGTATCTCTCCCGCTTGGCAAAGCCTGGCAAGCTACCTGTGACGTAGTCGATATGCCAAACACACTAACAATTGTCACAATGGAGACATTACTGGGCCTGCTCGAGCAAATCAATGAACAACAGGAGGACAATGCTACAGTATTAATTTCAAAATCGTGCGGCCACTACTGTAGCCATGCGACATCATATTCATAACCAGCAATAGAAAACAAATTGCTTCTTTTTCAGCAGATCTGAGTGTTGGGTTAAAATCCCAAATAATAAGGGTGGATCTGGTGTCACAATAGTGAATGTAATCAAAGTAGAAAGAGAGTAATTTGAAAATCATCTGCCCCACAGGTAGGGGGAGGGTGTGAGATGGGAGTATACTGGGTTTTTTGGTGGTGGAGAATGGGCACTGGTGAAGGTATGGGTGTTTCATTGTATGACAGAGACTTAAACCCGAAAGCTTTGTAACTGCTCTCATGGTGATTCAATAAATAAAATTATAAAAAATAAAAAGTAAGGTGGAGTTCATGCCCAATTCAATCAGCTAATCAGTGGCTGAATAAATAGCTGTACTCCTACATTTTTTAAAAAATGAGTTCTCTGGGTGTTGGAGCGATAGCACATTTGCATTTGCCTTACGCGCAGCCAACCTGGCTGACCCAGGTTGCCACCCCTCTCGGAGAGCCCAGCAAGCTACTGAGAGTATCTCACCTGCAGGGCAAAGCCTGGCAAGCTACCCATAATGTATTTGATATGCCAAACACAGTAACAAGTGCCACAATGGAGATGTTACTGGGCCCTCGAGCAAATTGATGAACAACGGGAGGACCGTGACAGTGAATGTATTATTATGGTTCCGGTATACATATATAAAAACCATTACATATAGGCACAGCTATTATTGTGTCTTCTTAAAATATTAATAAATGAAAAGGTGTTCCCACCCCATCCACCCATCTTCCCAAGCCTAACTTCTTTGCAGAATCTCTTCTGTGAACTTATTTGACTGTCTTCTCTCCCAGTTTCTTTATGCAAATATTGGCAACTGGGAATCTAATTCTTTCTCACCCTTTTTTCCAAACCACACCAGATGGTCAAGAAACTCATAAACATCCTTTCTTCTTTCACTTAATCTGTTTTAGAGATCACCACAATACAAAGCTTTTATGGTTTTATTTTTTCTAAACAGCACTGTGTTGATGAATTTGCCACTGTTTTGATATGCCTTATTTTATTCAGCTGTAAGGGCATTTATTTAGCTTGTCCAATTTTATGTTACTTCAGTTGTACTGTCCCCAAATAGTGTCTTACGGTAAATCTCAGCAAGGGTTTTTAAAAAGACAGAATTAAATAATTTTTGATTTTCATTAAATCAGATATTGGTAGATTATTAAGTATGCCAAATCATTATTCATGTAGAATTTTGAAGAACAGATAACACTAAGAAGTTTTATTATCCTGAGATTTGTTTTTATAGCCTTTCACTAGCCTAATAAACTAATTCTGACTAACTCTCTTCAAGCAAGTCACCTCTTTAGTATGAGAAAGTCATTCAGCCTCTCTTTCAGATTCTCCTTTGCTTATTTTATTCCCCAGGATGATTAGAACCCTCTTCTCCACTACCAGGTATGAGAATATTCTACTTCATTTTTTACTTTCAAGTAAAAAAAAAACCCTCTCATACTTATTTCTACTTTTTAAACTATAAAGTCAACTCATGTTACCTTTACTGACAGTTTTGAAAGTCATAAACTAATGGAACAAATCATATCCTTTCTTTTTTTAAATTATTTTTTATTTTTAAATGAATCTCTGTGAGGTACAGTTATAGACTTAGACATTCATGCTTACATTTCAGTCATACAATGATCGAGTACCCATCCCTCCACCAGTGCCCATTCTTCACCACCAATGATCCCAGTATCCCTCCCACAACCCCCACCCCATCCCACCCCACCTCTGTGGCAGGGCATTTCCTTTTGCTCTCTCTCCTTTTGGGTGTTGTGGTTTGCAATATAGGTATTGAGTGGCCATCATGTTGGGTCTATCTTTCTTCCCATCTTCATGTCACTTCTCCTTAGTCCCATCTTACATTTGTCACTTTTGTTCTCTCGCTTCCTAGGTACTGTCTCTTAATGATCTGGTAAGCATTTTGTGTTCACATTCTCGTTTTTTTGTTTTTTTTTTTTTTTTGCGATCATCTCCAAATTAAATTAAAAAGGTATGGAATATGCTTGGTTCTATGGAAATAGGAACTAGCTAGCTGCTGTTGTTGATAGTTGGAGTTTATTAATAGACTGGAATTCTCAAAGTTCTTCCTTTGTGAGTTTTCTAGGCTCTAGAAATGTCTACTAGTTCTTCAGAAAGGGGAAATAAGAATTAAGGACAAGAACCAGAGCAATAGTGCAGCAGACCTTGCATGCAGCAAACCCCACTTTGCTGCTCAGCATCTCATATGGTCCCTTGCACACCACTGAGTGTGACCCCAAAACCAAAAAATTAAGAACAGATTCTTACCATTTTCATGAGCTTTCCTAGGCATTGCTGGTAAAACAGTAACCCTGGATTTTGTGAGTCATGTTTGTCTTTGGAAGAAATAAAGGAACTTTTTTAGAGCAGACTCTTTTGATTGATGTGACTAGGTTATTGGTCATATTCATATTGAGAACTGCTTCATTTTATGCCCAATTAGAAAGCCTTTGGAAACTTGAAGAAATTAATCCTTTCTTGTTGCTCTGTGTGTTTGCTTTTGGAGTGATTCTGTTCTTGTGGAATGTGAGATACATTAGTTAGACACCATGTCCGACTTTGATTTAATATTCTCCTTCTCTCCTACAGTACTCATCTCTCAATCCTCTCAATCCATTCTCCCACTGTAACTAATATGAGTGATCTTCATTATAATGATATGTCTTTTGTTATAATTATGAATCCTGCCATACTGGTTCTACAGCCAGTTTGGCAGGTCACAGAATGACTCACACACACATGCACACACAGACACACACACACACACACACACACACACACAGAGGCAAGTTTTAGGGTCACTTAAGCAGCACTCAGTAAGTTGACAGGCTGGCCATTTATTCAATACAACAATGCTTCCCCGTCCTGGCTCCTGATACATGAGCCATTGTTTAAGTTGACAGAGACATTAAGGACAGTTAATAAGCACCTCAAAATTCATTAGGACTGTGAAGAGTAAAGACTGGTGTATAGCCAGACAGCAGGCACCCTCAAAGTATAAAGTCGTGGTAATTTTCTTTTTTTTGCTTTTTGGGTCACACCCAGCCCAGCAATGCTCAGAGGTTATTCCTGGCTTTGCACTTAGGAGTCACTCCTGGCAGTGCTTCGGGGAACCATATGGGATGCTGGGAATTGAACCTGGGTCAGCTACATGTAAGGCAAATGCCCTACCTACTATGCTATCGTTCCAGCCCTCACACCCCCCCCCCCCCGTTCTAATTTTGCATATATTGCCCTCTACATCTGAAAGATCCTTAAATGTGTTTTTCTGGGGGCATATTTGCAGCCATCATCTATGCTACTCTTTATACTTTACTGAACACATGTTTGCAGCCCCTTATATTCCAATACCTAAACTTTTGTCCAGGGGACTATCTCAACCTTGGGCTTTTTTGTTAGGGGGATGACCTCCCATAATTATTATTATAAAACTTAAACATCTGTGGAAGTAGAATACTACAGTGAACCCACATACTAATTCCACAAATTCAAATCCAAGTCAACCAGCCAGACTTAGCACATTGGGATTCTTCTAAATGTTTCCCTTTCCCTTTTTTACTTTCGATATATTTTAAAAGAAATTTCAGACTTTGATATTTCATTCCAAGATGCTTGTCTACAAAAGAGACCACACCTTATGCAGCCACTGCTATTATCACAGCATCCTTAATTAATTGATTCATGTGCATTATCTAACAGGGCAGCAAATCACTGCACCTATTGTCTCTTTTTTGTCTGACCTGCAAGCTTAGCAGTAAAATGGACACAGAGAAAAGGCAGAAAGGACAAGTTGTGACCCACAAGGCCCAAAATGTTTTCTCTCAGGCTTTTTATTTATTTTTTTTAAATTTTTATCCTTTTTGGATCACACCCAGCAACGCACAGGGGTTACTCCTGGCGATGCTCAGGGGACCATATGGGATGCTGGGAATCGAACCCAGGTCGGCCACGTGTAAGGCAAATGCCCTACCCACTGTGCTATCTCTCCAGCCCCTCTCAGGCTCTTTTTAGAAAGGTTTACTAACTCTAAATTTAGAATAGATGATCTTTTTATTTCATTTTTGCTTTTTTTGGGGGGGGTTGGGAGAGTCACATCTAGTGATGCTCAGGGGTTACTCCTGGTTCTGCACTCAGGAATTACTCCTGGCGATGCTCGGGGGACCATATGGGATGCTGGGGATTGAATCCGGGTCAACCTTGTGCAAGGCAAATGCCCTACCCGCTGTACTGTAGCTCTGGCCTCTAGAATAGATGATCTTTCAAAGTCCATAACTGAGTTTGCCACTCCTTTGTCGAAAGCCCTTTAGGATCAGGTAGGGACTACTCCATCTGATGACTAGAGCCAGACTTGCTTCATTTCACACATTCCTTCAGAGCCTTCTTTACTCTCAGTCATCTTTCACTTCTGAATGCCTTCCCTCACTGTCAAATCCCCAAGCATAAGCTTTTCTCACACCATCTCTCTTCATCTCTCAAGCCAAATGCAAGTTTATATTTTGTTACAGGATTAATTTCTCTTTCAAGAAAGAGCTAGAAGGATGGGGACCACATCTAGTTTTGTTGCCTCATTGTATTCCCCATGCCTGCTGTACATTCACATTTTCGTGGTCTGGTTCGGTTACTGTTCATTGATTTGAAATCTCCCTGATTTCTTTTACTAGGAATAATAGAGAGAGGGAACAGGGTGCTAAGTGTGCTTGTTGTCACTGAGTTGTTTTTGCTTCTTGATTTTTCAGCAGACAGCTAGGAAATATGTGTAAAAATACATACATGTGGATCTACATCAATTTATCTACACAAACATAATTTAGAAATTCAAGTTCTCACATGTTTTTTCAGTTAATTCCCAGAGAGTTCTTTTTTTCCTTCCCCCTATTATTTTTCCCCCTTTGCCAGGAGAGCTCTAACAGGCATGAAATAAACACATTCACCAAAACATCTGAAATTGTTTGAACTCTCCCCCATACCACCATAACTCGTCCCCTCCACTCTCCCTAGTCTTCCCAAGACTAGAAATAGTATTTAGCCACATATTAAGTACTTATGTTAAATTCTTAGGTTAGTTCTTTTCCATTGTTCCTTTACTGTATTGACTATATGTGAATGAAACACAAATGAATTTGTTTACAGTTGCCTTCAGGACTCAGTGATTTAAGTTTATTCCTTGAATCTGTAGAACTTTATCATTTCCACAGTACTTCTGTGTGTTTATGTACAGCAAAATACTCAGTTTCTCTTTACCCTAATTTGTCTACTCTGTTCCCAGCATCTCATCCTTCTATTTAATGTGCTTCATCGATTTTTCTTTTCTGTCATTACTTGAAAGATAAGATGTATTTATGTTTTCTTTTTACACAAAATGTAGCATGTGGCATATAGACCCTTTTTCAGTTTACCTTGTATTCTAAAAATTATGGTCTCTCTATAGGTTTTTCTTGTTCATTTTTTAGAACTCCATGATACTTATTTAACCAGTTTATGCTTAAACATTTAGGTAGTTTTCCTGATTTTGTAGTTATAGGTAGTGTTACGGTGCATAACTTTATGCATATATGCTTTGTGTTATTGGAAGTTTATCTTTAGAATACACTCCTAGGAATGGGATTTATCATTGAAGTATCAATACGCATAAATTTTAGGTATTAATATCTTTTCAGAAGGGGTTAAATTACCGGTTTTCATTCCAGCTGTGTATCAGAGTTTCAGTATTTACCAATAGTTCTTTGTATTTTTCTTATTATGAATAAAATAGAAAACATTTAAGGTTCATTTAATATTTTTGTGAGTTCATGTCTTCTATTTTTCTGTAGGATTGTTTTCTTCTTGAACTTTGGAAAATTCCTCATACACTAAGGATATTCCTTACATGTGATATATTCTGCAAATATTTTCTAACACTTTGTCATTTGTTTCTCAATTTTATTATTTTTGGCTTGTAATAAAAATATATAGTCATATATATCCAATTATTGTATTTGGCTCATAAAGTTTTTCTCTACCAAGTAATTTACCTGTTTCTATATTTGTATAACATCACTTTTATATTGGAACTCTGCTCCACTTGTAGTTTACTCCTGTAAATGGTACAAAGAATGGTTCTAATTTTAATCTCTTTTCAGGTGGCTTTGTAGTTGTTTCAACAGTTTAAAAAAAAAAGACCCAATAATTTGATGATTTGATGCACCATCTTTATCATTGATTTTCATATGTAATTAGGACTATTTCTGAACTTTTTGGTTCTATTCCATTTGTCTCTACCTAAGTACCATGCTCTATTAGTTACAGAGACCTTCTACAGTATTTTAATATTAGCATGGCTAGCTTCCCTAATAGCACTGCTTTTTCTGTTTTTCTCCCAACAATGTGTGTGTGTGTATGTGTATATGTTTTATAGGAGTTGGGTTTATGGCTTATCACTATAGAAACTTGAGCATCATTTTCTCCTGAGGACTGAGGGTGAGTGGAGTTGGAGAGGCCAAGGTCAAAGGCACTCGGTGGAACAGGGCCCCCGATATATGTGGAAGCAGGATTCAGAGCACAGGTAAAGGATGTGTTGCTGTTGGTGGTTCTGGAATATCACTGTCCACTCAGTTCCCCACATTTTAAGTTACATGGACTACTCTGCCCAAAGGAGGTAAAGGAGAGCAAAGACACGAGATCCGGCCTTTATTGCTCAGTATCCTTTAATGAACTCTTACCCAATTTTACTTAATAGTAATTTTGTGATGCTTTCTTAACTGAACCACCTTTTGGTTTAATACTATTGAGTGGGGCTTCATTTTCCAAGTTTGATTCTGAGTTCCTAGCTTCTCCTGTTGTGTATTTTAATTCAGATCCCATCAATCCAGTCCAGTAAGCATAAAATGAATCATGAATGTGATTCTTTATATGTCTACTCCAAAGTACATATCTCTTCTATTGTTTTGCTTCCCTTTTATGTCCACATACAGTTTCTAGCTAAAATTTATAAAGTTAAGAATACCATAGTAATAAGGTAAGTAACAATAGCATAATGACAGGCTTTGTTTTCTTTTCAGTGCTTTATATAGGTCATCATACTTAATCTTTCTGTCAGTATACCTGCCTTTTACAGATAAGGAAATTGTGACACAAAGGTTAAATAACTTTCTATAAGTCATGCATCTAGATATTTGGTCCAGGGTAAGACTGTTTCTTTGTTTAATGATTGTATTTTTTTTTTTTTTGGTCTTTGTTATAGTCCGACTTAAGTTAGTTTGTTCATAAAATAGGAGTAAAAACCTTTTACCTTGGCAGACCAGAATGTATTTTTCCATATAGAGATTCCTGGACACCCACATTTCAGAACCATTGTTATCATTGGTGATTTAGTCCAGGAGGCTGCTGCAGCTAATTTTCTTTCTCATTTCTGGGATAATTCTGTTGGTTATGTTTTTATTAGCTTATATTAATTTGTCTCCTGTTTTTTAGAGATTTTTTCACCGTCTGCTTTTCCAGGACTGAATGATATTTATCAAAAATTAGTAGATGTTTCAACATTTGTCAACATTTGTCAAGTGATTTTGTGAAATTCAGTGTAATTCTTTAAATTTCTTCTAAATCAAGTAAACAGTTATTATTTTTATTTTCTTTGTTTAGTGTCACAGTTGAAGACCAGAAACACTGAAGATGAGGAATCATTTGGAAAATGTGAAAATATTGGAAGTACAGAATCAGTGGAAGGTCTTCACAAGGATCATGTGCAGGAAGTTAAGGTTGGTGAAACTTGTGACTGGGATAGCAAAGTAGAGAATCCACTGGAAAAACCTGAGGGAAAAAGAATGAAGGATGACAAAAGTGACAGCAGGGAAAAGATCGCAAAAGTCAAGAACACAGCAAATATAAAGACAGAACAGGAAGATGAGGCAGCTGAGAAAAACTTACATCTGAGCTCCAAGCATGTTACATACCACACTCTCCTTGTAGAACAAAAAAACGGTGAACAGGGCAAATGTGTGGGCAGTGTTAATGGAAGCTCTCATCTCACTCTGCAACAAGAAAACAGTGCTGTTAAGAAGTCACATAAATGTGATGAGTGTGGAAAATCCTTCAAATATAATTCCCGCCTTGTTCAACATAAAATCATGCACACTGGGGAGAAACGCTACGAGTGTGATGACTGTGGTGGTACTTTCCGGAGCAGTTCAAGCCTTCGTGTCCACAAGCGGATCCATACAGGGGAGAAACCATACAAATGTGAGGAGTGTGGGAAAGCTTACATGTCCTACTCCAGCCTTATAAACCATAAAAGCACCCATTCTGGGGAGAAGAACTGTAAATGTGATGAGTGTGGGAAGTCCTTCAACTATAGTTCTGTTTTGGACCAGCATAAAAGGATCCACACTGGGGAGAAGCCCTATGAATGTGGTGAGTGTGGGAAGGCTTTCAGGAACAGCTCTGGTCTTCGAGTCCACAAAAGGATCCACACAGGGGAGAAACCCTATGAATGTGACATCTGTGGGAAAACCTTTAGTAATAGTTCTGGTCTCAGAGTTCACAAAAGGATTCATACAGGTGAGAAGCCCTATGAATGCGATGAGTGTGGGAAGGCCTTCATTACTTGCAGAACACTTCTCAACCATAAAAGCATCCACTTTGGAGATAAACCATATAAATGTGACGAGTGTGAGAAATCATTTAATTATAGCTCTCTCCTCATTCAGCATAAAGTCATCCACACTGGAGAGAAACCTTATGAATGTGATGAATGTGGAAAGGCCTTTAGAAACAGCTCAGGCCTTATAGTGCATAAAAGGATCCACACTGGTGAGAAACCTTATAAGTGTGATGTCTGTGGCAAAGCATTCAGCTATAGCTCAGGCCTTGCAGTACATAAAAGCATTCACCCTGGGAAGAAAGCCCATGAATGTAAGGACTGTGGAAAATCCTTCAGCTATAACTCACTTCTTCTGCAGCATAAGACCATTCATACTGGAGAGAGACCTTACGTGTGTGATGTGTGTGGGAAAACTTTCAGAAACAATTCAGGTCTGAAAGTTCACCGAAGGCTCCATACTGGGGAGAAACCCTACAAGTGTGATGTCTGTGGGAAAGCCTATATCTCACGCTCTAGCCTTAAAAACCACAAAGGAATTCATCTTGGGGAGAAGCCCTTTAAATGTCCTTATTGTGAGAAGTCCTTCAACTATAGCTCTGCCCTTGAACAACATAAAAGGATTCATACAAGGGAAAAACCCTTTGGGTGTGATGAGTGTGGAAAAGCTTTCAGAAATAATTCAGGTCTTAAAGTACATAAGCGAATCCATACTGGGGAGAGACCATACAAATGTGAAGAATGTGGGAAAGCCTACATCTCACTCTCTAGCCTTATAAATCATAAAAGTGTACACCCTGGGGAAAAGCCCTTTAAGTGTGATGAGTGTGAAAAAGCCTTTATAACATACCGTACCCTTATTAACCACAAGAAAACTCATCTTGGAGAGAAGCCCTACAAATGTGATGTGTGTGAGAAATCCTTTAATTACACCTCGCTCCTTTCTCAACACAGAAGAGTCCACACGAGAGAGAAGCCCTATGAATGTGACAGATGTGAGAAGGTCTTTAGAAACAACTCAAGCCTTAAAGTGCATAAAAGAATCCATACTGGGGAGAAGCCTTATGAATGTGATGTGTGTGGAAAAGCCTATATCTCACACTCAAGCCTTATTAACCATAAAAGTACCCACCCTGGCAAGACACCCTACACATGTGATGAATGTGGAAAGGCTTTTTTCTCAAGCAGAACTCTGATAAGCCATAAGAGAGTCCATCTTGGGGAGAAACCCTTCAAATGTGCCGAGTGTGGAAAATCGTTCAGTTACAGCTCCCTCCTTTCTCAGCACAAGAGGATCCACACAGGAGAGAAGCCTTATGTGTGTGATAGGTGTGGGAAGGCATTTAGGAACAGCTCTGGTCTTACTGTGCATAAAAGGATCCATACAGGTGAAAAACCCTATGAGTGTGATGAGTGTGGGAAGGCTTACATCTCTCACTCAAGTCTTATCAACCATAAAAGTGTCCACCGTGGACAGCAGCCCTATAACTGTGAGTGTGGTAAATCTTTCAACTATAGGTCAGTCCTTGACCAACACAAAAGAATCCACACTGGAAAGAAACCGTACCGGTGTAATGAGTGTGGGAAGGCTTTCAATATTAGATCAAATCTCACCAAGCACAAAAGAACCCATATTGGAGAGGAATATTTAAATGTGACAAGTATGGGAAGTCATAGTGGCACATCACAGATGAGAATTCTTGAGGGAGGTAACACCCTGGATGGGACGAGGATAAGCATGTCTGTACAGGCAGCAGTTTACCAAGTCTCGGAGAGCTCAAATGGAAGGAAAATCTACGAGTGTAAGAATATCTGAATTACTTGTTCATGGTTTATAATTTACTTAATACAATTAAAGCCATGAGTAGTCTTTGTTACAGGATTTTCACTCAGCCAGTAAGGAATGCTCCGGTGTCAAAATTACTGAACCCTTTTGGAATGTAAATGAATTCATAGAAGGGGACAAACTATGTCAAAGTGTTGGAGTATGAAAAAAATCTTCAAACATTTCTGGATATAAAACACAGATGAGGACAAGACTTAAGAAATATATGTATCAGATCATTCACTTTTGGATAAGTCCTTTGAATAAAAATGGAGATTCAAGTATAGCTTTGAATCTCCAGTATACATTGATTGATCAGTGGAAACGATCCAAGAAGGGCCTCCAAGAGGCAAATTCAGGGAGAGATAGGCTTCAGGGAATATTAATTTAGTAGTCATGATCATGAAGTGTAATCTTCCTATATTTGAGGGAGTAGTGATAACTTCTAAAAACAAAATATGAATTTTGTTATAGGAAATAAGATAGAAAGCATAGATTAAATCTAATGAAATAGAAAACTTAACTCATTAAAAAATATAAGTTAATCAGACTGTGCTGTTGTAATATTGTTCTAGCTGAGTGGGTGAAACTTTTTAAAAATGTCAGATGAACCCCCTCAGTGAAGCATGTGTGATGATTGAAATGCACATTACACTCCAGAATGAAAGGTCCTACCCATGAGAGATTCAGCGTATTCAGTAAATAATGAAATACATCTTCAGTATGAATTTGCACCTTATACAAAAGGAGTCAATTCAGTGAATCCTACAAAAGGAATACTGAAAGAAGGGCATTTTAATGCAGGAGTAGGAAGCTAAGTAGCTTCCAGTAATGGTGGGGTAATAGGAAACTCATGTTTCTTAATAATTGTTACATGTTTGATTGTTCTGGAATGTGTTATTGTAAAGATTTCATACTTGTTTGTATTGTCCATTGTAAATGTTGATGAATATTTTGTTCAGGGCTCACTCTTGGCCATGAAGAGCCAAACAGTTGTGGCAAAGTACAGTGGAATTCCAATAAATTCCTTAAAAGTAAACAGGCTGTGGCATGGGAAGGTGTGCAAAAGAACCATTGTGTCTCACATCTTTGTGGGGTGAATCATACCCTCACTGAGGGTGGCTCCACAAGGTTTTGCCATGGCTGAGCCAGGGAAGGAAGCCAGGGTTTTCTCCCACACAGCCACTTGTTCAGATTTCATTGAATGGAACAGGTACCTTCACTATAACTACAGATTGATTCTCAAATGGGCAGAGTCATGATATCCCCTTGTATTACATCAGCCATAGATTGATTCTCAAATGGGCAGAGTCATGATATCCCCTTGTATTACATTGGCCATGGAGTGTCACCACAAGGAAATACAAAGAGGTTAAAAAAAGAGTTGTGGGGGCCAGAGCGATAGTACAGCAGGTAGGGCATTTGCCTTGCATGCAGCCAACCTGGGGTTTAAATCCTGGCACCACTAGGAGTAATTCCTGAGCGCAGAGCCAGGAGCATTGCTGGGTGTGACCCAAAAAAAGCCAAAAAGAAAAAAAGAATCCCTAGCCAGAGTCTTCTGAATTTCTGGGTGTAATTCATTTTACCTACCCCTTCAATATTGAAGTTTCATGGTTAGGTGTTGGGGAAGGGAGCATAAGAAAGAAGAGGGAAAGCATCTGTACCCCAGTTACACTTTGTAACATTGAAACCAGTCTTAATTCTTTGTACTTCTCTACAAGCAACCCTGACAAACATGCCCCTATCCATAGACTTGAAATTTAGCACATTCTGCCTGAGCCCTTGTGCTATCTGTGACCATGTGGCGGAGCACATGGGATGCCTGGAGTAGACATTGCCCACATCTCTTGAGGTGTACTTTCATGCTTTCATGTCTAATGCTGAGGTGTGTGTAGGGGCTCTCTCTGCCCTTAGAGAAACCCAGGTTCTCTCTTGAGCACGTTACTCTCCACTCTTTCCCACTTTCTCTTTTTCCCTTCAAAACCTCCAGATAAAATCTATTTTACTTCACTGCATGTCTACTCCTGAAATTCCTTTCTGCAAGGTGAGACAAGAACCCAGTAACCCTGGGTCCTGGGTGGCAGAAGTGGATGGGGAGAAAGTGACCATCTTTCTCTGCCCCACTTCACATGAGCCACTGTGGGGCCCACCAGCATCAAACCTAGGTTGGCCACATGCAGTTAAGTGTCCTACCTGCTGTAGTACAGCGGGTAGGGCATTTGCCTTGCACACAGCCAACCCGGGTTCAATTCCTCCATCCCTCTTGGAGAGCCCAGCAAGCTATCGAGAGTATCCTGCCCTCATGGCAAAGCCTGGCAAGCTACCCATGACGTATTTGATATGCCAAAAACAGTAACAAGTCTCACAATGGAGACGTTACTGGTGCCCGCTCAAGCAAATCAATGAACAATTGGAAGACAGTGCTATAGTGCTATTTTTTATTTTGCAGTGCCAGGGTTTAAGCCCAAGTCCTAACATAGACAAGGCAAGTGCTCTACTAATGAGCTACACATCCCCAACCCCAAGAATTCAGCAGGTTCTTAATGCTCTAGTCAGATGGCCTGCTAACTAGCTAGTGGAAGTAGACAATGGGTTATCTAGTCAGGCCCACCTTAGGATTTGACCTGGTTTAGGAACCACCACCCTGACTTCCTTCCAGAGATGTCTGATGTGCAAGAAGAAAGAAGGGAAATAACAGTTGAATCCAAATTGCTCAACAAGCTGGAGCACATGTACCCAGTTCACATCCCCTGCACCACTGGATCCCTGAGCATAGAAAAGTTCTGACCTTTCATTAGCAACCCACAATAACTTTGATAACCCAAGCAAATCAAACACTGCTGGATGTAACCTAAACCCCCCAAAAATACAATAGCAAAGCTGTTAACATGTAGGTAAATAACATAAGATTTGTTGTGGTTATTTTTTTTTAAATACAGTTAATTTGTTTTTGAGCCACACCTGGTTGTGCTCAGGGCTTACTTCTGGGTCTGCACTTAGGAATTACTTATAGTTGGGACTGGAGAGATGGTACAGTGGGTAAGGGCGCTTTCCTTGCATGAGGCCAAGGTGGGTTCAATCCCCACCATCCCGAATGGTCCCCCGAGGACTGCCCTGAGCATAGACAACACAAAAAGAGTAACCCCTGAGCATAGACAACACAAAAAGGAATCACTCCTGGCTGGTTGGGGGGAAACATGGGGGTACCAGGGATCAAATCTAGGTTGGCCACATGCAAGGTAAGCACCCTGCCCACTGTACTATTGCTTCAGCCTCTATGGTTGTGTACTTCACAGCACTGAAAACAGAATTGAAATGCTGGACAGCAGATTATTTGAAGCTGGAAGATGTTTGTGAAAGCCTAAATTTGGGAGGAGGGTTGAGAATCTTTAATTCTAGACTTTTAAATATAAATAGTAAGATGGCATGGCTAGTATATAAATCAAATCCAAAAATAATCTGGACTTGGGGTTGGAGCAATAGCACAGCAGATAGGGCATTTGCTTTGCACGCAGCCGACCCAGGTTCCATTCCCAGCATCCCATATTGTCCCGAGTAATTTCTGAGTGCAAAGCCAGGAGTAACCCCTGTGCATTTCCGGGTGTGACCTAAAAACCCGAAAAAGAAAAAAAAATCTGGGGTAGAAAACCTAAAGTCTTGAAAAGGATTGAAATCCAGAGTAGCCCTTGAAAACTAGTTAGCTGAGGACTGTTCTCAGCCTGCTTCAAAGGGGAACTTTTTCTGTATTAGGACTTTGAATTTCCCCCAGGGAACTCCCTTGGTGAGGAACCTTCAAGTTTATTCCCTTATCCCAGGGAACACCTTAGCTTGAAGGTATGGAGAAGGATGTCTGGATCCTTTCATTTGTTTTGGGGCTACACCCAATGGAACTCAAGGGTTACTGCTGGCTCTGGACTTCACTCAGGAATCACTTCTGGCAGACTCAGGGTGCTGGGGATTGAACTCAGGCTGGCTGCGTGCAAAGCAAGAGCCCTACCTGCTATACTGTGTCAGGACCTGGAAGTCTTCTGCCTCTGTTCCCCTCAAATAGGACTTCTCTCCCCCTCATTTTTGTTTTTGGGCCACACCCAGCAGTATTCAAGGCTTATTCTTGACTCTGCTCAAGGATCACTCCTGAAGGGTTTGGGGGTGCCAGGGATTGAATCCAATTAAGCTGCATGCAAGACAAATGCCCTACCCACCATACTATCACTCTGGCCCCATAAATAGAATGTTTTAAGCATATTTTTTTTAGGGAATAGTTTAGGTACAGATGAAAAGTGCAGCTTCTCAAGAGAGTGGAGGATTGGGTACGGCCCACATGGTGTCACAAACCCTCAGTAGGGATTTGGGTTATCTCCAAGGAAAATGTGAGACACCACTCGTCAGCACCCAAGACCACCTTCCATGACATCTGACCCTAGCAGAATTCTGACAAGGCACAGACCCAGCTTCCTGTCAGTGAGTTATAAGAGATAAAGTGATAGTACAGTGGTAGCACGTTTGTCCTGCATGTGGTCGACCTGGGTTCAATCCACAGCATATGCCCCCCCCCCCATGCAGAGGCAGGAGTAACCCCTGAGCACTGCTGGGTGTGCCCCCCCCCCAAAGAAAAAGGATATTTGCTTTGCACATGGCCAATCCGGGTTTGATTCCCAGCATCACATATGACCCTTCAGGCACTGCCAGGGATAACCCTTGAGCATTACTGGGTGTGACATCCCATCCTCTTCTCCCCCCGAAAAAAACCCAAGATTCTCAGTTGTAGGACATAGGACATAGATAGGGCACTTACCTTGCACATGGCTGACCTGGATTTTGATTCCTGGCATCCCATTTTGTTCCCTGAGCACTACTGGGTGTGGCCCCCAAACAAAAGAATATTTTGAATTTAAGATAATTTTCGGGTGGGGCACATCCCTCGGTGCTCAGATTACTCCTAGCTCTGCACTCAGGGATCACTCTTGGCGGTGCTGGTGGGGACCATATGGGATGCTGGGGATCCAAGTGGGTCAGCTGCATGCAAGACAAGTGCACTGCCCTCTGTACTATCTCTAGCTCTTGAAACAATTTTCATTCATTCACTCACTCATTCTTCATTCTACTTGTTACAGCTTCAGGTCTGTAAAAAAGCTCCAGGTCTAGTATTGCAGAGCACCATATGATAAGTTCTTGGCATCATGTATGTGCTCCCCGATCACCGCCCAGGGCAACCCCTGACCCTAAGCCTATGAGCACTGCTGGGTGCGTGTGCGTGTACGCGCACACCACTTAAAAAGCAAAACAAAAAAAGGCAGAACATCTAGGTCACAGCTGGAAGCTCAAAAGCAGAGTGGGGAGGTGGTGAATTTGCATGATAGCTCTAGTACCTTTGCAGGGGACTTCCTTCCTGTGGACACTATGCTCAGCCTGCTAACCCAGAGAGGAAATGAAAAGGTCAGCGGCAAATGAAAAGCTGCTTTAAGAAGGCAATTGTGCAACATTCCACCAAACTTCTTTTCAAAACAGGAGTCATTGCGACTACTTGTTAGATCTCCTATCTCGAATACAAAAATCTCTAATTTTTGTTTGATTTTGGGACACTCATTGCACATTGCGTTGCACAGGGTCTGTTCCTGGCTCTTTGCTCAGGGATCATTCCTGGTGGAGATCAGGGGACTATGGACCTTTGGACCCTATGGGATGCCAGAGATTGAACCTGGGTCAGCCATGTGCAAGGCAAATGCCCTCCCCACTCTAATGCTCTAGCCCCCAAGAGACTAATTTTGACTTAGGGTACCACTGTCATTTTGTTGTTCATCGATTTTGCTCGAGCAGGCACAAGCTTCCATTGTGAGACTTGTTTCTGTTTTTGGGATCTTGGATATGCCACAGGGAGCTTGCCAGGCTCTGCTGTGCGGGCAGGATACTCTCGGTAGCTTGCCAGACCCTCTGAGAGGGACGGAGGAATCAAACCCAGGTCGGCTGCGTGCAAGGCAAACACCCTACCTGCTGTGCTATTGCTCCAGCCCCTTGGGCGATTTGGGTTGGGTTTGGGAGGTCCACACCCCG